TTCAAACAATATCTTACAGCCTAGCCTTTTGACCATATGCTTTTACATCATCTCCTTATTCAATTTTCCCTAAAGATGTGTTAGTCCTGTCTTAGGCACTTCCTGTAGAAAAACAGGCTAAGTTTCAACAAACCTCTGCGTAAATAGATTTCTCACTCTATCGGTAATTATTTTTAATTGATGATCTTGTATTACTGAATTCCCAAAGAAATTGTATAATCTTTCCATAATTATTCTTTCAAAATTTCTGATAATTTAAAAAAAATTCTTTCAATTCTTTGTTCCGTGGAAATCATCAAAAAAACCCCACATTTCTTCTCATAATTTCACAACTACTGGCATCATCCCGATGAATCTATGCTTTCTCTGGCTTTAATAGTCTTTCTACAATGGACTGGGCAACTCCACCTGGTACTGTAACTCTGCCTTAACTAATGTTTAGTATGGATTGCTTTTTTTCCCTATTGCCCCATTTATAAAACTCAAAGATTTGTTATCCATTTCAAGGCTTTATCTATATACTAACATAGAGTCATAGTGCTGTACACGTGGAAAGAGACCCTTCAATCCAACTCATCCATGCCGACCTGACATCCTAAACTAATCTAGTTCCATTTGCCAGCATTTGGCCCATATCAGTCTAAATCTTTCCTATTCATATACCCATCCAGATGCCTTTTAAATTTGTAATCATACCAGCCTCCACCACTTCCTCTGGCAGCTCATTCCACACATGCACAATCCTCTGTGTAAACAATTTGTCCCCGGGTCCCTTTTATATCTTTCCCCCTCACCTTAAACCCATGCCCTCTAGTTTTGAACTCCCCTACTCTGGGAAAAAGACCTTGTTATCCATGCCCCTCATGATTTTGTAAAGCTCTATAAGTGCACCCCTCAAGGATGCTCCAGGGAAAATAGCCCCAGCCTATTCAGCCTCTTCCTATAGCTCAAAACCACCAACCCCAGCAACATCCTTGTAAATCTTTTCTGCACCCTTTCAAATTTAACATCTTTTCCTTTAGCAGGGAGACCAGAATTGTACACAGTATTCCAAAAGTGGCCTAATCAATGTCCTGCACAGCTGCAACATGACATCCCAACTCCTATACTCAATGCAGTGACGAATAAAGGCAAGTGTACCAAACGCCTTCTTCTACTTGCAACTCCACTTTGAAGTAACTGTGCACCTGTACCCCTAGGTCTGTTTGTTTAGCAATACTCCCTGGGATCCTACCATTAACTGTATAAGTCCTGCCAAAATGCAAAACCCCATATTTAACTAAATTAAGCTCCATCTGCTACTTGTCACCCCATTGGCCCATCTGATCAATGTCCTATTGTAGTCTGAGATAACCTTCTTCACTGTCCACTATACCACCAATTTTGGTGTCAACTGCAAAGTTATTAATCATTCCTCCTATATTCAGATCCAAATCACTTAAATAAATGACAAAGAGTAGTGGACCCAGTGCCGATCCTTACAACACACCATAATTGATACACTGCCAGAGCACTCAGGTATAAACAATGCTGGTAAAATATATAATTGAATTGTAAAGAGAATACATGTGTGGTATGAGCTCAAAAACAGACAGGTGGTAAGTGTTTTACTGTACTGAAGTCACTGGTATGCCGTTCAAATGGAGTTCAACTCTGAGCAGCTGTTATAGGGTCATATAGTTGTGAAAGGGAGGTATGTGCTCACATATGTTAATAAAACAGTTGTCACTGTTATGATTCAACAACTACTCATCAGATCAGACCAGGGAACCCGACACTTTTGTTCAGGAGTCTCTTTGGTTTGATAATTTGATATGTTTTCTGCTTCTGATAGGATTGCCGAAGATCCCAATTTGTTTGGGCGTCTCCTGGTTCAGGGCATGAATCTTCCAGTTAGTGCTAATTGCAACCTAATGGAGGAGGTTTTACACATCCAATTTGCACTTTAAACCTTAGATTTACCACTGTTTATCTTCATTGCCAGTTTTATGGGTGATTTTCTTGGTTCAGTGATAGTGCCTTTGCCTCAATGTCAGAAAGTTGTGGGTTGAAGACAAACTCTGGCTGCTATTGAATGTGTAATGTAGGCTGATATTTCAATGCAGCGCTGAGGGAGTGCTGTACAGTCAGACGTGGCATCTTTTGGGAGAGACATTAAAGAGGTCCTGTCTGCTGCTCAGGTACACATAATTCATTGCATAAAACAATTTAAAATATAAGTCTTCAAACAGATGCCAAAATTATCCCAGTGTCCTGGCCAGAATTTATCCCTCAACCAATATCTGAGATAAATATTTCACTCATTTATTTAATGGTTATTTGTAAGAGCTCAGTGACTGCAAATCAGCAGCTGCATTTCTGACATTATGACAGTAAATATAATTCTAATGTACTTGTTTGTGTTTAATGCAGACTTTACAGGGGTTAAGACATCTTGAATTTGTGAAAAATGCTATGTAAATGAATGACATTCTTTCTCCTTGGAACTTGTTTTGGAAGATTTTGCACAATAGTTGCTAGTGCAAAAATGCTTAGCTACAGGGGACATAACCATTGTAAGATAAACACATAACAGTCGCAAGTGCCATTTGATCCAGCTGAAGTGATCAGATGTCACAAGATTGATGTCAAATGATTAAATGTCACTTGGTGAAATGCCATGTGAGTAAATCTCCAAGAATATCTCCAATCAAAGTTGGCAATCTTAAATAAAATTAAAAACTAAAAAATGTCCTCCATATTTTGTGCCACCTCTGACAGTTTCCTGAAAAGCTGATGAATAGGGAATTCAATCTTTGACACAACTAAACTCTGGCCATTTATGCCTGCATTACAATTTACAACTAAATGCCACTAAGACAAGATGTCATCCAGCACACTTCTGAAGCAGTGGAGTTTAATAGATCACAGCAGAAAATTCAACTGTTTTAACACTAGTGGTCTACTGCTCCTGATGTGGCTTCCTCTGCATCGGTGAGACCAAGCGGAGGCTCATAGACCGCTTTGTAGAGCATCTGCGCTCTGTTCGCAACAAATGACAACACCTTCCGGTCGCAAACCATTTTAACTCCCACTCCCACTCCCTGGGTGACATGTCCATCCTGGCCCTCCTCCAGTGCCACAATGACACCACCCGCAAACTGGAGGAGCAGCAGCTCATATTTTGCCTCAGGAGCCTACAGCCCAATGGCCTAAACGTGGATTTTACTAGTTTCAAAATTTCCCTAACTCCAACCTCATCCCATGCCCAACCCTCCCTCTCAATCCCTGCCTCTTTGACCTGATACAACTTGTCCATCTTCTCTCCCACCTATCCGCTCCATCAACCTCACTAACCAATCCCCACCACTGCCTACCTGCACTCACCTATCACCATCACACCCACCTTCCCTAGCCCCACCCCTCCTCTCTCTACTTATTTCTGAGCTCCCTTCCCCCTCTCCATTTCTGAAGAAGGGTCCTAACCCAAAATGTCAACTTTCCTGTTCCTCTGTTGCTGCCTGGCCTGCTGTGTTCCTCCAGCTCCACACTGTTATCTCTGAATCCAGCATCTGCAGTTCTTACTACCTCTGTTTTATCAGTTAGTGTTGTATTAGAAAAATGGGCGACTGTCAGGTGCATTTTCCTCACATAGTTTCCAATGTTTTAACAATTATTGATTGATAGACCCATTAGGAGTGGTTTGTTAGATGTTCCTTTGATGTGATTTTATTTTACATTAGTTAGTGTAATGAATAAATGTTGAAGACTGGCAGCCGAATGTGCCAACGACAAGATATAGATGTCCTGACAGCCTGTGCCCAAATTCTTGTGTTTCTGTTTGAACATAATGGGGGCTGATACTGCTCATGCTTACAGGTGGGTGAAGTTGGGAATAGGAATGAGCTGGGATATAATCCTTCCTAGCTATTCCTCAATTCAAGGATGAGGTCTGCTCAGGTTTATGCAATCTGCCATGGGTCTTCATATGGCTAAACAGGCTAATTCTCACTCATGGATTTTTGGAGCTGGCTGTCTCACAAGGTGGTGGGATCTGGAGTGCTGAATTTGCTTCCTATTCTTTTCTGCTGCTGCTCTATTATTAAAGTATTGCAACTGAAAGTGTGATGCAGCTTAATGTTGTCACCATTTGGACCTTAGTAGAAGCCTGTGTGTGATTTTGTTTTATGTGGAGTCTTTGGATCATCATTGTCTTTGTCTTTGTCTGTATAACCTTCATTGGTTGGTGATTGAATTGTGTTCATATGTTGAACCATGATGAACTTTGCTGCTGCAACTTTATTCTGTTGCTGCAACCAGTAAGGTGCACAGTTTTCCTGTGCCTGGTCTACTGTTGATGACTTTTTGGATTGCATTTTGTCTGGCATCCATGTGAGATTCAGGTTGGAGCTGAACCTGAGCGACTACTACATGAGAACTGGACTGGAATCAGAAATTGATGGGGTTCAGGCTGAAATGGGATTGGAACTAACGTTGGGAATGGGATGGGGATTGAAGTGGAGTTAGAGTTGGGCATGAGCTGGGGCCTAAAACTGGAATTGGGCTGAAACTGGGATTTATTTAAAATTCAAACTGAGCTGGATTAAGCTGGTGTTGAAGATACAACCGAGGATGGGACTGGCATTGGAACTTGAATGGAGGCTAGAGTTCTGAAAGTTCAGACGAGCTGCCTCTAAAGCTGAAGGGAGGGTTGAGCTGGGGATTAGGCTGGGGCTTGGGGCGTTGCATTGGCGTCAGTATGTGACGCGAGAGAGAGTGGTGGGGAGGTTGAATGTATGTTTTTAAGCGGTATCGAATTAAGTAAATGTCGCGTCTGTAACCAGTTCTGTATTCCCCTAACTGCGCATTTCAAAAGAACAGTGGGATGGAGCCGAGATGAAGCGCCTTCACATAAAACATGAAATTTAACAGCTGACGTTGGACTGAGTTGCATAGGATACTACATGTTGCGACTCAAAACAACTGCCTGCATCAGGTCTAAAATGATCGCACAAATCCCGTTGAAGTTGGGAAAGCTTTATTTTCCAACCATCGAGTGTGTTTAACGGCTAACAGATTATAGATTCCTCTCTCCCAGCAAACACACAGTGCACTCCCAGTAACTTTCACCGTGCAGTTTAGACCCAGGTGTCAGCAAATACATCGTCTCAGCACAGTTTGTATCCAGTCCACTAGCTGCAGCGTTTCCACCTTGAGTACTGGTTTGCAGTGTGAATGAATCAGTCAAGGTGCTTTTGGGGAGGAGAGAACTGTCTTCGTTAACAATAAAATCGCTGGCGTGTTTTGTTTGGGTAAACTGTAGCAGTAAGTATCTGAAAATAAGCAGCAAAAGCACGTAGCTGGTCCCATACTTAGCACGGAGATGTACCATATAAACGTGTTTCTGCGAGGACCTAATAAAATCGAGTGATTAGACGAGCAACAGAGGAGTCACTATACCTGCTCACAAATAATCAACAAAATCAGGAGACGGGAATATTGATGATTACTCCAGGATGTTGGTAAAGGTTTTCTCTGAGAACATAAGAACAGCAAGTCCAGAATGTGAAACATCTGGGAAACACTTCCGTGCCAATGAAGGACCAGTGACTATGGGAGGACACGTTTTGCAATGTGCAAAGTGCAACAGAGTTTGGTGACTTGCATTCGCACCGAGTGTTTCCAATAAGTGGAACTTTTTTCGTTTTGTTTTGCGGGGCCCGGAAGAATAAGAATGTTCCTCAGAGTCTCAAAAATAAACCGCAGCCCATTGCTGTCCTTTGGGTATCTAAGTCAAATATCCCCCAGCGCAACCCGCCTCATTTACCGGCAGCTGCTGGCTCGGTCATTCACCAAGGGAGCGGTCGGATTTTCGGTTCCCCGTTTCCCAACTACCCCTCACACACACAGCCACATACACACACCCACACCCGTCTCTCTCTCACATACACACACCCGCACCCGTCTCTCTCTCACACACACCCACACCCGTCTCGCTCTCTCTCACACGCACGTACACACACCCACACCCGTCTCTCTCACACACACGTACACACACCCACACCCGTCTCTCTCACACACACGTACACACACCCACACCCGTCTCTCTCTCACACACATACACACACCCGCACCCGTCTCTCTCTCACACACACGTACACACACCCACACCCGTCTCTCTCTCTCACACACGTACACACACCCGTCTCTCTCTCACACACACGTACACACACCCGCACCCATCTCTCTCACACACACACACCCGTCTCTCT